TCAGTGCCATTTGGATTGCGCAGCTGAATCGCATTCCACTGGCACCGGGACAGATTGTCACAACTGTGTAGGAAAAATAAATAACGTTATCAGAGTCTATGTCACGTTGTTCAAGATTGGCTGGCTCACGCTGGGATATGTCACGCTACTCTAGGTCACAATAGTTTAGCTAACGAACTATGCCGTTGAAAAAAGGGACGTGATTTTACTCTAGGGGTTCTCTAGGTTTAAATTATGTGGTCATACATTGCACCTCCCTCCCCTACCCTATGCTCCCTTCTCAAGGGGAACGTGGCTGATAGATTCAAGGAAATATTGACTTACGCAGATCTGCTCGTTATTTATATCTAAGTTACTGGACGTATATCAACAGATCTCTTCAATAATTTTTCCGCCAGTTTGACGGCAACGGCAGCAGCTATCGGCGCCGCTGGCATTCCATCAGCAGGCCTGGTTACCATGATTATTGTTCTCCAAGCTGTAAATCTTCCCACTGAGGACATTGGTCTTATTCTAGCTATTGACTGGTTCCTGTAAGTTTTTATTTCATTATTGGGGCTTTTCATACCAGTTTATAACCGCTCATAACTTAAAAGGAAGTAATAATAGGCCTCAGAGTTGTCACTGTAATCGAAAATAACGCAGAATACAATTCTCTTTACAGTTTTGTTAAAAAAATCAGATTTTGTGAAAAATTTGGGAATGGTTGTTTAATAACATTGTTCTTTTTATGTTTTGAATCGGATTTCTCCCGAAGACAACATAGTTTAAATACGTTGTGCGAATTTCTAAAAGAAATGAGTTCAAAAATGCTAGTGACGTGATCGATCGCCAGTATTTTCGAATTCATCTAAAGGCTCTAAACACGAAATGACTTAAAATGAAAACCTTTAATTTATTTTCTAACTGAAAAGTTCTTAAATAGAAAAGAGGGTACAAGATAATTCAACTCTGCGTTGTTGCAGCGAAGGACCTGGGAACCAACCTCGTTCCCTGGGCTTTTCCCTTAGAGATTGGGAGGAAAAAGCCCTGGGAACGAGGTTGCCTGAAAATATAGTTCGTCCAACATTAAACTTTTGTGGTTAAGAGGTAGTCTTCTGCAGCTTGATCTGATGTACACAAAAAGTTGACAGCAGAGAGCGATTCGAAGCAATAGAAAGAAATTATAGGCTGTTTGAATAAGAATGGTCAAACACGTCAATTTTGTTTTCTTAGGGACCGTTTCCGCACATGCGTCAATGTCATGGGTGACGCCCTTGGTACGGGAATTGTGGACCACCTATCACGTGACGACATCAAATTCGCAGATCAGCTGGACACAAACGAGGACACACCGCTGAAGCATAACGGCGGCGCACTGGAAGAAGAAGACGAGGAAGACGACCCCATGAAAATGACCAGCGTTTAGGATGAAGTTGTCAAAACGCCTTCGTCTTAACCCTCGATAAAGAAAGCTTAAGCATTAGCCATTTCTTTGTATGTAAATATAGCGTCTGAGCAACTTTTGGTAAAGATGATTTTCTGCTATTGTAACTTCAGTGAAAGTATTGGTCCTTTTTTCAAGTTTATTTAAAGAACGAACACGAACAAACACTGGTATGCATTCAATTGAATAATTTTTCTCTTAAACAAAATAATCGATTGATAGATTAGAAGCATAAAAACCCTGTAATAAAAAGTCAAAACTCTGCCTTGTGAGTGAACAATCCATAGAAGTTTTCATCTATGAAGAGGGCTTTCCACAAGTTGCTCGAGATTTCCCAAAACATTGCACGCAATTTCCCAAAAGGTTGCTCAAAAGTTGCGTTTTGTAACGAAAGTTGTTCAAATTTGTTCAACAAAACATTTTTTTGTTGCTCTCTTCCTTTATTTGGACTTATTTGGCCTGATGCAAAATATGCAAAAATTGTACAACAAAAGTCAGATTTCCAAGCATTTTGTGTAATTTTGTAACCAGCGTTGCTAAATACCTTTGATCCCAATCAAAATCAAAAAATTTGTGAGTAAAGACTACGCATCAATATTAATATAGATCTTGTCAAAAATTCCTCACGTGAGACACTCGAGTCAGTCGAGTGTCAATCTTCGTCCGCCATTTTGAAGTTTCTTTAAAATACCGCTGACCTAGCAGCCCGGCTGCATGCATCTTGCACACATGATCTGCCCTAGCGGGGTGGGGCGATCTGGCTTCTTTTTCATAGGAAATCAATAAATTCCCTACTAAAACACTGTGAAATATGGAAGCAAAGCCAATTTAAGGTGGCTCAAAACAGTTTCCAGCAGTAAGATTTTGATGGGTCGTTATAACCACTTTCTATCACTTGATGCTACAATCATGGTATCAAAAAACT